CAGCTCTGAGCCTGCATGCTGCTTGCGGCGCTCTCGAGGCAAGAGGCATGCAGTTTTCCCCCGTCGGTCGTGTGCAAGATCCTTTGAACAGGGCTGGACCTAAACGTTGTTGTTCGTTTCGTGTTCGTTATGTTGTTCGTTGTGCTCTGCCTGTTTTCGTGTACCCCCCCTGCCAAAACGAATAACAACACTCAGCCGAAGCCCAGCAACATTCAGGTCCAGCCCGGCCTTTGAGCGCACCGCCCGTAGACGCTGGCCCGCTGGTTGGAGCTGCTGCCGCGGTGGCCACTCCCAGACTGCGGTGGGCATGGGGGCCTGCCAAGGATTGCCTCGGAGAGGTGGGGGTCCTGAATCAGCGTCTACAGCAAATCATCCCTCTCAGGACCGAGGCGTGGTTCTGTTTGAGTTCGTTTCGCCGCTCGTCAAACGCTTACTGAGAGACTCGTGGTCCTCTCGGTGGTCACGCGCGTTTGTGCTCTCGACCTTCGCGCCAGCAACGTCGAAGACTGGTTTGGACCCCATGATGTCGCAACGCAGATAACTCGCCCTGATGGTGCGATGGGGGGCCTCCAAGCCAACGGCCAGCTTTTGCAGCAACTGCAATGCTGGAAACCACGGGGGCTGACCTTCCTGATGAGCAGAAGGCGATTGTTCCAAGATAGGCGCTCCCAGCGTCTGCGGTGGGCCAGGGGCAAACGGTGACTCTGGCTGCTGACATGGCATGGCCTCGTGGGCGCTGGCGACTGGGGCCACCTTGCCGAACAGTTCCTCTCCGCTGCCGATAAGCGGGTCTGCAGCGCCCCGTCGACGAAGTGCTGGCCACGACGCGGGGGGGGCAATGGGCGGCCTCCTCCACGAAATCACCATCGTCACCTGCGTGCGCGGCAGGCCGCTTTTCTGGGTCGAACACCTCGTACTCGCTCGCCTCATCAGACTCATCATCGAACCCGGCAGCCAGCCGCTTGGAAGTCGCGCCAGCTGGGTGCTTCATCGGCGCACCGATGCAGCAAGTCAAACGGAACAACACAGAGCGAGACCAGTGCTGAAAAGAGACAGCGGTGAGCTGGGGCCCAAAGCGGCCACGAAACAGGCGGGGGACAAGAGGAAGCGTCTGTCGCGAGGCTGGGGGCGCTCCCGCGCCCGGGTCAGGGCGGTAGACACCGGCCCTGGGAAAAAATATGGCCCCGATGGGGAGCGGGACGGAGGGGGCGGCGCCCGCGGCTGGCCCGCGTCAGGAAGGGCACCCCGCTGCGTCGTCGTTCGAGGAGGAATGGGGCGGGAGAACAAGATGGAGGAGGAGGGGGGGGAGGAGGAGGAGGAGGAGTCGAGAGACGAGGATGGGCAAACTACCAAGCTGGCTCTGCCAGTACGTCCGCCGCCCTAGCCCCTCGAGTTTTCCAGCCGCGGGCCCCTCGCCGTAACCGCCCCAGTCGGATCCAATGTCAGACGAGCCCCTAGGCAACCTGATCGTCCCGAAATGCTTCTGGTGAATTCTGCCCCCCCCCCACGCCCGGGACGATGTCCGCGCTATCGCGAGGGCCTCTGGCCTTGCGATGCCCCACTTAGCGCGCAGCTCTAGACGCATACAGGCCACCTAGCACCGCGCTAAAGGGGGCCGGTCGGGCCGAGAGCGCCCGGGCCAAATCAGGCAATGGGCAGTTCTGACATGGAGTACATCCCCGCGTGGTGAATATGCGGCAACCCTTGCTGCCGCAAGTGGGATTGACGCCTTAGCGGCGCCGCCCTTGGCGCTCCACGCGTCCCCCCCCCACCAAACAAAAACGGGGTCGTGCAAGTGTGCATGCGCCTGGAGAACATCTGTGACGCCTCGCTTAGCCTGTGCCAAATACACTACGCTCCAACAAACATGAAACTGCGTCGTTTATCCTGACTTGGCCTGTTGCATTGTAGGCAGCCCGACGCGTCCACGCGGCTGTCACGGAGGGGTCGTTCCATGCAGCGGTAGGAATGGGGATCGCGCGCACGACGGGCGTGGCATCATTTAGCCTGATTTCCTTACGCACAGAAGCCGAGGCCGCTTCCTGGCAGAGCCTCGCAAGACCGCGATTGAGCATCGTGTAATGGAACGTGTTGGAACGTCGTGCACCAAAGTTCACCAGAAAATCACGATATAAAGCCTCATCAGACACCAGATCGACCGCCGACAAGGGCATCGGACTCCACCAGCTGCGGAGAGTGCGCGGAGGGGGCCGGCGAGGAAAAAGAAAAAGGCCTGAGGTGGAGATGGGGAGCGAGGGCGGCAGGCCGGCAGGCACGGGGGGTGGGGAGGGCAGGCGAGCAGAGAGGACGGGCGGCGGAGAGCGGAAGGCTGGCGTCGGGGCCCCGCCAGGGTCGCGACAGCCCCATGCCTCTGCACGCAAGCCGGGACACGTCCTGCGCAGCGGAATTTCGGCTTCCCCGCGTAGCGATCGATACAGAGCCTTTGGCGCTCGATTACCAACATCTTCAGTCTCTGCGTACCGCGGGGCCGCTGCGCCGCCAGCATTGACGAGGTAGGATCGTCAGGTCGTAACTGTCACGTCGATTCGCGGCGTTGACCTCCCAGGAACGGTGCTTTGGCACAGTTGGAGATTTTCAAACGGCTGTCTTCCAACGGCCCCCCCCCCTCGCAGGGAGGATAGATGATTCTAGGAGCCTATAAGCAGGGAACTTGGAGGGAGGGTTTCTTGCAACATCGTTGATGACTCTTGGGTGTACACAAGTCCTCCTCATCTTCCTCCTGCTCCTCTTCCTGCTCCTCCTACTTCTCACCACCACCGACACCACCGCCACCATCATCATCATCATCATCATCATCATCATCATCATCATCATCATCATCATCATCAGCAACATCAGCAACAGCATCATCATCATCATCATCATCATCATCATCATCATCATCATCCTCATCAGCATCAGCATCATCACCACCATCACCATCACCATCACCATCACCATCACCATCACCATCACCACCAACACCACCATCACCATCACCATCACCACCATCACCATCATCATCGTCAGCATCGTCATCCCATCATCATCATCATCATCATCATCATCATCATCATCATCATCATCATCATCATCATCATCATCATCATCATCATCATCATCATCACGAGTCGAGGAGGAAGCGGGAACGGGGGGCAACGAGGTGTAAGCAGAGGCAGCCCCTCGGCACCCAGACGTCCCACCTTCCACCGTGGATCGTTTTCCGTCTGGCGGCCCCGGGGCACGAGAACGACAACCAGAGGCAAAGCTTCGGAAAACGCCGAGATCGAAACCGATGTCATACAGTCGGACTTGATTGGAGAGGACACGCGAGAGGACACAAGACCCTTCCGAGGGCCACATTGCCATAGGAATGCGAAAAGGCATGCGTCGCGAGGCACAGGACACAAGGGTACCCTTGATCTGGCAAGGTCGACCTACTAATCAAGGCCGACTGGAGGTGGTCCGAAGGCGTCGTCCGAGAGTTCCTAGGATCCCGTGACAGCCCACCAGCGGGCGGCCTCCCAACGTTCGACGCTCGGTGTCGCCATGGCGGGCTCCTCTTGCGGCGGGCGCCAGGGAGTCGGCGCGCACGCAACGGGAGCCTGCGCCAACGCTACTTCGCATCGTGAAAATAAAAAACATCACACGGATGTTCGCCATTTGCCGTTTTCCCAAGGGCCATCACCAGACCCAAGGACACTGTGACACTCAGAAACCGCCTCAGGACGAAAAGCTGGTCCTTGGGAAAGGGTCGGGGCTTCCGGGGACCCCGTATGGCAGAAATCAAAGCATCGGATCTCTGCAACGTGGGTCTGCGCCAGCGGGGGGGTCAGCCCATCCCCTCAGATCCCCTCCCAAGGAACAGAAACCGGCAAACACACATAATTGTTCGCCAATGTGAAATTCCCTAGAGATAAATCTGCGCACTCTTGGCATGGAAGCAACGTGGCGCAAGCTACGCGGTGCAACATACGCGGTGCCAAAGCTATATGTAGTGCAACCAGTTTGGTGCAAGCTGCGTGGTGCAGGCTGCGCCGACGGAGGCCACGGTGTCGGCGCCGCCGCCACCGCCGCTGCCGACGACGGCGGCGAAAGTCCTGACATCTCATGTCTTGAATTGTTCGATACGGGTCCCCGGAAGCTCCTACCCGTTCCCCAGGGCCCCAAGGCGGGCTTTTCTTCCCGACCTGCGTTCTGTTGACGGTCCCGGGGCCCGACGAGGAGCCCCATGAGCCGAGAGCGACACAACACACCTTCCGTCGTGATGGGGGGCAGCGACACAGGAGGGGAGGAGCTCAGGGGAGGGAACATCGACTTGGAATCGGCGATGCATCGCCGATGCATCGGCGATAGGCCCCCCGATTACGAAACCGCACGCCCATGGGCGAGGTGGATTTTCGGGCCCCTATCGGCAACCAATGCGCGATTGGGGGCCGCTGCATCCCCCCCATGCCTATCCACCCCCATCTTGGCTGGCGAAGATCGGTTTAAAATGAACTTCTCCGTGAGCGCGGAGGCATGTGACAGGGCGGCTGGGAAGTTTAGCATATATACCTCCCAGCCACCCTGGAGCAGGCGCCCCCCCTGCGGGGGGACAGGTTCATTGGAAGCCGTTCTTCGCCCGCTGACTACCGTTGCCACTGGCGTGAATTTGTTACGACGCCAGCATGCCTGGAGACGGTGTCGGTACCGATGCCGCCGCTGACGACGGCTAGAGGCCTCTGAGATGGAGTCGGAATAGGTGGGGTCGGGGGATCGCGCCGCATCAACAATGTATCGGCGACGTCGGCGGCGCGCCGGCGACGCTGGCTCGGAGAAAACCGGGCTCCGCGTCGAGCCGCCGCGCCGATGCATTGGCGATACGGCGCGATCCTCTTCGACCCCATCTGCTTGGGACCCCGCCTGGGAGGCCCGGGAGGAGCATCATGCCTGGGCGAGGTGGCGGCGCCGACGGCGCCGCAGCTGGCGGCGGCGGCGGCGTCTAGGCGAGAGGGCGC